TCGATACCTGGACCAGGCGGATTTTGTCGGTCGCTCACCAGTCACCTAGCTGTGTTTGGAGATTTCTGTTTGGCCTTTGTCCCTCTTTTTCCCCTTCTTCAGGGATTATTTTCGTCATCAAGGCTTTGCTACGCGGAATTCGCTCACTTTTAAAAAGCCGCTGTCGAGATGCAACTTGCGGAGATCTGGCTGCCCTCCTCCGCGCTGACTCTCCGGGCCCCAGATCCCAGCCATTCGGACTTCGTCGTTCGCCCGGCAGAAGCTTAACGCGCCATGCCTCCGTGATGCGTCATGCCTCGGGAGAGCGGCGATGGCCTCGCGTACCAAAACATCCGGCGACACCAACTCCCCTAAGCGAACTGACATAACGCGACTGGCTTCTCAGAACAAAGGGGCCAAGGCTTGAAAAGGGGACGCGGGACAAAAGGAGGCTCTCTCGGATGGCGGACACGAAGGAGCGAGCAGCGGTGACAGGGAAGAAGGACGCTGGCGCGGGAATCGGCAGAAGACAGACGCTGGCGCGGGGAAGCACGAGCGCGACGTCGAGTAGCGGACTCGACGGACGGACCGGATAGCGACCCTGGACGACGGCGTCCCCACGACGCGGTGTGGACGACTACCGCTGGGACATGGAGCATTCGCAGCGGCAGCAGACTTCCCCCCGCGATAGGTTAAGACACCGATTTTTGCGGTCGATTTAAAGAACCTGGCCGCTATATGGGACACCGGGATTTATCGCCCATGAACTTGAACTCGCGCCAACAATGTCGCCTGTATCTTTGAAGCTTTTTTATGTAATCGCAGAATCAAAACTTTTAACACATTTAGGGGCGACTACAGGTAAGTTTGCTTTTGTGATATTTAATTTTGTTTGCTCTTTAAATACGGGGATACTTTATATATCTAGAAATTCTTCAAGAGGAATTATGTCTTAAATATTGCCTATCTCTGTACCTTTCTCTATCCCTTTCTCTCTGCGAATAATAGTTGTCCGATTTCAATGATACACTTTCAGATATTTGCCTGGGAGATGTGTCCTATTTTCGTCCTATTTCGGTTACTTCCCTGTTATACATCTAACACTGCCAGCACGCTCCAATTGGTCGATCGAGGAATGCTCTAGCCTCTCATTTCCTAAAGTCCCTTGGAAATCAATTATTCCTGATGATGGCTAACTGCATATTTTAGTAATATATACAGAAAAAGCTAGGGTCCATCCAGCGGTGCCAATTTGTTTCCACCTGTGCGATTGAGTCAGTGCGTAATGCGCGTTACTATTACTGCCCCACTTTACCTCTTATGTCTGGCTGCTTTTTTGTTTTCCCTTGTAAGAATCGGGGAACAAAACTGACAGGTAAACTTGGAGCTTAGTTCTCAATTTTAAAAATGTTTAAAAAATGAAAAGTGCATAATCGGGTTTCTTTATTCAATAGCCACGAGTAGCCATCCTGGCTATTACATTAGGAACCTGTGGTAGATTAGTCAGCTGCAGATTGAGGGCCCTGTGAGCGCGAACTCAGTACGCCCTCAAGGTGACGGCACGAGGTCCTTCAAGCAACGCAAAACTCTTACGTGCTCTTGCGTGTGAACTAGAAACGTACCTACTAACGTTACAAATGAACGTATTTGCATTACCGAATCAAGCGACAAGAAGGGAAGCAATCATTAACGCAGTCCTCCGCACACCTTCTTTCGATTCATACTTCTGGCGATCTCTCTGGAATCACCGCCCAGGAAACGAATGCAACTTTTGGGGAGAGACATCCTTCCCTTTCTGTTTAATACGATGCTGTTGCATCAGGTACATTATTTTACGAAGCGCGAGGCGAGCGGAAGCGCACCAACCTCCCCCGTCATCTACGCGTACGACTACTAGTACGGTCGCGCCTCGCCAGGCGGTGGGGTGGCGCTGCGTATGCGCGGCGATCAACGAACGGAAATCAGTTGAGGCCTTTGTAACTATTTCCTGAAGGGGAAAGCGTGTGCGTTTCGTTTTGTCAACTGCGCGAGAGGCGCGCCGTAGCCATGAGTGTTCAAGCTGGCCAATGTTAACGCACGACAAGCTTGTCGGAAACGATTCAAGAAAGGTGCGAAGGACTATGCCGCTTGTGATTGAGCTCGGCTCTGCGTTTTCGATGACGAGTGGAGATATCACCATTGTGACAAAGCCGACAACTTGAACGACTGCGGCGCTCGTCCCAGTAAAAACTGAAAAGGTGCGTTAAACTTTGTGGACGTACATGCAGTGACTTTTGGTAAGTATTACAGCATTGCGCCGCATCAAATATACACCACTTAAGATTTTTAGAGTGTGACTTCTTGATTGTTAGGTTGGTAACAATGCAACGTGCTGTGATTTTGTAATTTGTGTCAATAAATATTTTCTCTCGTCTGTATGTTGGCATCTGTTTGTGTCCGTCTAGCAGTCAATGAAGGCAATGGTGGTACTTTCCCAGGATCCAGTGACATTAAGTCGGACGAATAAATCACAATACAATATTTACTAGATTTTATTAAGTTTTTAAAACCAAAATCAAAACCGCGTCCCTTCCAAAAGTCAATAATACTTTTGGAAGGGACGCGGTTGTCACTGTATATTCATTACTTTAAAAACTTAAAACAGTAATAGCACAAGGACACATCTTTGAAAAATGACAACGTATAACAGACCCCTTCGAAAGTCACATGCCGATTATTAGAAGGTAAGAACAACTCGACAATGGCTGAACAACTGACATCGTGGCAAGTGCAAGCGATTCTTTAAAACAGAGAGCGTCGGAGCGCGGCCAACGCTTTGACCCGACAAACCAATCAAACAGCGTCGAAAGTGGATCGTCACTGCGCTCATTGCCTTTTTCTGCGGGCGTGTTTTTGCCTTCCAATCCAACCAAACGCATAAAGTATGCCGGGACGTTGTAGTTTTAGTCCGCCATTATGAAGGAATTCCACAACTGCCAAAAGAGGCTAGTCTTTTGAAAAAGGTCTGTGAGAAATTTAGAACAAAGGGTACCGACAAACAGTTTTCATTACATGTTTGCAGGTTTTTCAGCAAACGACAAGCAATTAACAATGTCATGGTGTAGTTTACACAAATGTATAGAAAGTGTATTATGGTACTACTAATATACACAAAAATAAAGAAGTTTAGTAGCTCTACACTGTCCAGTGTTATTTACACACGTTGCTTCAAAACGGGAACGAATGCTCGTTTTTCGTTACTTCTCAATTTCGGAACGGGTTCTTGTTACAGGTTCCAGCGGTTGGAAATTAAGACGTTTAAGATTGGATGGGATGCCGAGTCGTCACAATCACATTTGCCCATTTGTAAAGCAATAGCTTTAAGGGGCTCATGTCGCACCGGCCTCGGTGGTGTGCCGGAAAAACCGGCGTGCCAGAAAACCGGCGTACCAGAAAAACCGGTGGCATCCAACAAAAAACCCTCGAAAATCGTGATTGATCGATAGGATCATGTCTATCCACATTACAACGCGCGGGAATTTCAAACAACCCACAGCGCTTACGTGAAACATGACGTCACGCGTGGAATGAAACTGAATAAAACGTGACATGTAATTCGAATTAAAGGTCGTCGCATGCCACCAATGATTTCACTCCATAAAGTAATCCATTAACGCAAAGAAAAAATCTGAAGAGTTTTAGACGGGGGCGGTATTCAAACCCGTGCATGACCCTTCGGTTCCGAGCCAGACAAGCTACCGAATGGGCCATGTAGACAGTTTTTTTTTCTTTATTGCAAAGGTGAGTAGCGCAAGTCACATAACATTTAAATGCACTGGAAGATTTTACAGGGCATATTAAAAAACACGCATTTTACAAAGCACTTAGAGATACCGGGCCACTCAGGCTAGGAATCGCGGGTGGAAACACACGTTCCACTTGTTCAATTAGCCTGAAAACATGAAAAGGCACTTCTTTCGGATTGACGTCGGCATGAATGACTGCCGCGTGGGGTCGCCATATGCTACAGAATCCCAACAGAAAAACACACACACACACATATATCATATGGGACAGCCGTCGTTGGTCACGTTCAAGAAACGAAGTTCTTCGAAATGTTTTTGGAAAGAGGCCACACGGACAGGCTTGCACGGCTTGGGATCGAGCGGGTGATCATATGTGTATACCTATCTATCGCGTTTCACTCTTAAAGGCGAGGCTTAAGCGAGCGTCCTCCTGTAATTTTTGTTTTATCTTTGACTATCTCTCGGAATCTTTCCCATCCCAATGTAGTTGAAGGTTGCAATAGTTGCCTGTGAACGTCATACATTTTTTAATAAATTCGGCTAAAATTACGGATAAAAAAAAAAAAAAGGAACGCCCGTTCCTCCTTCCGTTTTTTCGAAAACGTAGAGTTTTCGTTCCGGTTCGACCGATGCAAAATAGAACGGCGCCGTTCTTCCGATCCACGCAAGCGATTATTTTGTATACACCTTTCCACGCGGCCATCTCAATCTTGATTGGCATTAGAAGCTGTTCCCGATTTCACGCCCACCCCCAGGCACAAACACACACACACACACACACTCCCGGCTACGACCCCTCCACGCGCTACTAAGTCAGTACTCAGCCTCACCCTGAGTTGGTAAGGGCGAAGGCTACTGTCCAAGTGAGCCAATCAGCGCGTCGGAGGGAGACACGTGATTTTACTCTGTCTCACCAGTGGCTCACAGTTCTGTTGAATCCACGGGAACGGAAGAGAGAAAAGCCCCTTTTTCTACGAATTTTGAGTGAAGGGCTAATCTTCGAGAGGGACAAAAGTGACGTTGGGGCACACGAGGGAGGGCGCAGATAATAGGGGAGTTCCAAATTACCCTTTTACTTAAGTGCTTTCGCCGCTGTACGCGTGGTAAGAGTTTTCACGTGCTTTTCCTCCGCCGTCCTGATTGGCTCGAGGAGGCCGTAGCCTTCGCGTCTTGCCAAATTACGGCGAAACGAAGTATAGCCTAGGCTGCTGAAGTCAAGCATTTACATAACGCAAGTACAAGATAACCTATGTTTAATCGAGCGTACGTGCAGCCCCGATCACTTCGTGTCTGTAACAGCAAAACCGTATACATGGGGACTCAGCGTCGTAGCTATCGGCAAGAACGCTTCATTCAGTTCTACCTGCGCAAAACCGGCATTCTTCAAGATGAGTCCAGTCCTCCTGGTCACGTGACATCCACAGAAAGTGAAAGCCCACAGCGGGTCTAGAAGCTTTTGCACGACCAAGCCCCAGCTTCCTTCTGGATGGGCCACGTGCTCGACGAACACCAACCTGCCGCCCTAAAGAGAGTGAAATGCTGTCCTTTATACATGTACGTACGCACTACAAATTTAAGAAAAGGGATGTTCCAGAGGCTTGCACGCATAGCTACACCCTATCAGAAGCCATCTTTTAGAGTAATACACCAGTTTGAATTGCAGACTAGAGTGTTGTTCAATGGAAAATGTTCAATTTCAAGAAAGTGTAAAGGGTATGGAAATGAATGCTACGGTGGGGTCAGGTGAACCTTTCTGATGGGCAAGAAGAGGGGCTGTTTAGGCTAGTTGGTTGGTCATTTCATAAAGTTGTGCGTGCACAATAAAGACAAAGACGAACGGAAGACCAAAAGCGAGGCGCATGGGTGCGCACGTTTGTGTCCTGTCCTCCCTTGGTCCTCGTCGTTGCTGCTCACGGATGAGTTTCATGTTCTGCAAGTCGTGCGCCCTTCAAAAACTGCTTTTGCGAAGAATACATAAGTCAGAAGACAGCCTGCAGAAACAGTTCGAGGTGATTTTCTTTCTAACAGGCCGATTCTGTTACATTTTTCATGCGAAACCGGTGCTGTCATGTTGAAAACACGCTTATGAATAAAGAAAACATGCTTCCAACACGCTTGAGGAGGGACTGCGGAAAATGTTCGTAATTCATTATGCCTGCAGCGAACACCGCGTTTTTTGTATGAGGCGTACGTGCGACCGCGGCTTTCAGTCCCAGTAACACTGCTAATATTTTACGTCGCTGTCCTCGGAAAACACGGTCGCAGTTTGTGGACTGGCGTCTCCACCACTGGCGTGGCCAGAGATTTCCCGGGGGACGGGGGGATCAAAATCTATTTGTATATTACAGAATCGGCTAAATATCTGAGAAGCCACCCCCCCCCCCCTTGCCTCCCCCCCCCCCCTTTTTTTTTTTGGCTACGCTACTGGCTCCCGTGAAATTTCGCAATGAATGACCTTCTAGAAGCAACATCTCCTATAATCAAGAATAGGGTAAACGCTGATTCAGCCAGTTGTGACTGCTAACGATCGAGTGCAATATGACCTCTCGCGATATCTAATCCCGAGAGTACGCACTGGCACGATGGCGCCATCTGTGACGTGGATCTGGAACTGCATTTCACTAGAACGAAGGTTTTGCAGTATTTTCGAGATCGAATGTGCCTACTATGTATGAGAAATTGTCGTCTATAACATTGACAAACGTTTTTAAACCCACAATGAAAGAATGACTCGCGCAAAAGTAGGAAATAAACGGAAATCGCAGGTATTTCACGGCTACTCGACAGGTGGCGCCAGTGCATTCTCTGCAGGTAAGAGACCACGAGAGGTCGTAGCGCAGTCGGTCGTAATAAAGTGCCGTGATAAACTTGTCTTGCAAGTAGCGTCAGATGCGCCATGCACGAGGCCTGCGCCTCGTGCGGCCCTCTGAAGCAAATGGCTACACTGCACTGAAATAAGCTGACCCTGGAAGCGAATAGCGGCGGAGCTCTCGCAAGTGGCACGTGTTTCAGACGATCGTTCAACAATGATTGTCGGTACTTGTAAGAAAGCCCTAGCGTTGAATTTCATCGAGGGACTTTAGGTCGTAAGCAGTCGCAAGTGTTTCAATAAGACATAAAGGGGTGATGAAGCAGGATCACGTCGCATGCACAGTGCGTGATTGGCTAAACCAATGATAGCAGACGCACAAAGATTACGAGCGCCAGAGCGATTCACATTTGGGGCTGCTTGATTGACTCCTTCGACTTGCATCGTTGGCTGCGGCTGGACTTAATCCGAAACAGAGCATAGACAATGCAAGAAGGCCACAGCCACGCACTCACACACCTTCGACAGCACCCTTTTGCACTCGGAGAGGACCTTTCCCACGTCGGACACGGAGCAAAGCACGTAGCTGACCAGCACGACGTCGAAGTGACCGTCGGGAACCCCTCTCATATCCTCGGCATAGGCTCGAATCCACCGCTCCAATTCCACGTTCGGGTTCTTCTTCAGGTTTTCCCGGAAACCTCCGCCGAACTCCGCGTTGGGGTCCAGGTTCCAGTACTTCACCTTCCGCTGCATGTGCTCCAAGTTGGCGCCGAAGCCGGCACCGATCTCCAGGACCCTGATGGAGCCCTCCTTCTTGAGAGTGTCGTCGTGGGACTCCAGGTCGTTCAGCTGGGAAATCGTTTGCCTACGAACCCCAATCATTCGATCTCTCATAAGGTACATCCCCACGGGAAAGGCGAATCGTGCGAAGAAGATTTCACGGAGTTTCTTATTTAGTTTGAACGGCACCCAGAAGAGAAGTCCGCAGGCCAAGGCTGCGTAAACAAAACAGTCCCCACCGAGGCTACCCAGCCTGCCCATTTTGAGACTTCTCCGAAACGGGCAGCTTTCTCCAGCACTTTCTCGTCGACGTCTCTCGGGACGCGTGCGATAACGGTATCTATGGGAAGATACCGTTATCGCTGACAACAACGCAGGGAGTTCCTGACGTTAGTTCTAGAAACGAGCTGATCTAGTAACGTTGGGACACGCTACCAAGCAGCGCATTCGTAAGCAACAACATCCAACGTCGATAAGCCGTCTGCTGCACGCTCAGCGGCGCCAGAAAAATAACTCACTCTCGGACTGCTTTGCTCATCGTCGCCGTAGACGGGTCTCCCTTTTTGCTCTGCGTTATATTAGTCTCGCAGCCATAGGCGTGCGCACAGGGTGGGCAGGGGGGGAGGCCGCCCCCTCTAATCATCTAGGAGGGGAGGGGGGGGGGGGCGCAAAGTTGGCCCGACTCTCGAGGCGCGACGGCGCCGGCGGTATAGGCCTCCTGCGTTGAAGCTTTGAACAAACTGTAGCGCCCTCATTTTGGGTTGTACGAGCTCACCTGATTGGGCATAGCCCTACTTATGGCACGTTGGTCAAGCTTTTTCAATTCTATGTGGTGCGAAAGAGCGAAAAAACAACTTTGGACGCCAGAAATCGGACAAACTCAACGTTGCAAGAGAATCGAAAGTGCCAAATCCATGACACCACCGCTAGGGCACGCGTCTCTTACCTCTGGGTGGTGACGTCACAACACCTGTGTCGCGACGCTTTAATTTCTTTTTTCTTTTTGATGTCTACTTTGGAACGCGTGAAACGGCATCTCTTGGCTCACGCTCTCAGCGTCTTAGCTTTGACGGCGTTCGAATTTTTGTTCTGTCTTTGCATTTTCATCGTGATCTCGCGCTCCGCACCAGAGCAGGCAAGCTTCTGCATGCGTGACAGTTTGAGACGCTAAAATTTGTACTATCCAAAACAAGTACTGACAAGTCTTATTCGCAGCACCCTCTGGGCAGCGCAGGAGGCCCATGGTTTCTTCTTTGACGGCATAAAACACCGACGCCAAAGTTCCCTCCCTCTAGTGCGCGCAACGAAAAAAACAACCATAAAAACACGCCGCGACGCAGTCAGTCATTGAACAGTTCGCGACAAAATCGCGTAGAATTTTGCTTTAGACTTTTCACGATTGGTGAAAAATACTATATCTCCCACGTGCTACACATTTTCAGTAATCCAGTCATAAAATATGTTTACCACCACATAACATAACATTAGTTTGTATAATGTTTGTTGAGCATGACATAATGCGTGCGTGTTATCTTGTTGTTTCTATTACATGTTTCTATCAAGCGTCAGAAAGTAAGTTTATCAACTGTACATTTGGATGCTCAGAAGAAAAAAAATGGCATGTCATAGCGTTTATCTTCAATAATTACTAAATATTGTAACTTTCTGTTTCGCGCATTTTCAATCTGCGGTATATTCTCGTGCTTTTAAGCTTTGCTATTACGTTGAGTATTGGGTGGCGTTTTTCGTTCTGTGCATGAACGTTGCAGACGCCATATGACAGCCTTCGCCATGTGTAGGTACACCCATGCGTTTGCCCTGTATGTATACTATATTTTCCATACAAGCAGAGTCACGTTGAGGCAATATTTTTAAATATTCTGTGCTGTTAAAGATGGCATATGGGTCGTCTCTTTCTCTGGTTTAGAAAGAATTAAAAAAAATTGTATGCGCGTTGTGTCACTGACGCCTCAGCTGCGCAGGGACTGCCTTTCTTTGCGGACGTTTCAAAAGAAAGTGAAACCTACTGCTTAATAATATTTTGTATATGTTACAATTCAATATTGTTGAAATAAACATTTCATAACCATATCTCGTCTCAGCACTACAATATGAGCGTAAGGACATCAGTGGGAGTGCGTTGATAGAAAGTGGGGGGGAGGGGGGGGGGGGGCGCCGGGGGCGCTCTGGGGAAACCTCGCCCCCCCTAATGAAAAATCCTGCGCACGCCTATGCTCGCAGCACCTTTGATTGTCAAGGGCCGAGAAGAAATTTTTGATGGCAAGCTCAGAAATTATTAACAGATGGTAGGGCTTCTATGACACTCCAAACATCATTACGGGACAACAATAAATCACCGATTAAAAAAGAAGTGTATTGACATATGTTAATTTTTCCCGTATTAAAGCTCATGAGAATAATTTTATCGAGTGATAAAATTACATTTCTGGAAGGTTACAGAACTCGACACAATACTTGAAGCAGATTCTCAGAATAAAACAAGGTCTTCAACGTAGGTTATAAGTTAACTGTGCTTCAACTAACTAGAAACTTCAACTCATCGGGCACATTAAATCATCAAATTGCGGTTCACACATCATAGTAACAAACAAAAAAATAGCCCATCATCTGAGTGTACTGTGCATTAGGAACAACGCACAAAGCTCGTTGATACACTGAAAACACTGGGCACATTTCAACACTGTGCTCTTACCAACGGGCTTCCAGATAAGGAGGACCAACATCCTTCTTCGACTGATATCTTTGAAGCACCAAACCAAGCATCGAGGCACTGACCGTGCATGACTTGTCGTAAACGAGAAACTGTAAATAGCATTCTCTCATGACAGTATCTTACAGATTAAGGATGATGGGGGCTTTATTTTGCAGCCCTGGCCAATGCGCACTTGTGCTTTGAATTGCATTGTACCATTGTTTGCGGTAACGCGTCAGCAATAACGGCATTACCGGTAACGCATTAGCTTTTCGTTAACGCAGTAACACACTCGTTACGTTTTCAAAACATCAACGGGGTAACGTATTCCGTTACTTATTTGAAGTAACGGGTAGTGTAGTTACGTTACTCGTCACATATTTTTCACAAAACCTGGAAGTACGCTTAAAGTTTTTTTCTCTTTCTAAACACCGACTAAACTTGCTGACGTCACGCCGAAGCGGTGGCGCTGCATGCGCGACTGCGCTCGCGCAGATGCCTGTTTCTTGCTAAAACGTGTTCATGAGCATACGCAGTGCCTACAGCTCCTGTGGGCAAACGAGCTGGTGAACAAAGAATGAGTTTGTGAATACTTTGTTTTACCTTAAAGGTGCCCTGAGGAGGTGTTTGGCATCGCCTACATATGGCAATAACTCACTCTGCTGGATCCAAGCATCCCAGAAATCCATATATCATAACGATGCGCGACCGATTTCTCTATTCAAGAATCCTTTAAAGATCGACGAGAAGAGCATTGATCCGGCAGCCAGGACGATATGTGAGCAATGAAAACGCGACATTTCGTCGAAGACCCTTCGCTTGCTATTGGCTGACGGTACACTCCTGGTTTCGGACACGCCGAAGATGACCTCGGTGTGTTGCGATCTTTGATTGTTCTTTTAATAGGAACATCCGTCGTTTATCGTCATGATTTCGGGATTTCTAGGATGCTTAGAGCCACGAGAGTGAGTTATCGCCACATTTAGGCGATGTCAGAAACATCCTTAGGGCACCTTCAAGTCCAGACGCAGCCGGCGCTACGAGCTGATGGGACCAATCTGACATCGCCAAAAGGGCACCATCATGGTGTTGGTCATGTTTCTGTACGTTTCGTTGAACCAATCATAAAAAGGCCCAGTGACTTGCACTTTTGACACTGCTTGAATGGTTCAACTTTAGAAAAGACCCGACACCCACGCACTTTGTCCCAGTGGAAATGCGCTGTCACAAAAAACAATATATATAGACGCTTTGCAGCAGCTGCGCATGGACGCCGCCATAACTGACCTTCAGTTTTTGTTTCCTCTTATTCCGTTCGCTTCACTTCACCATTGCCACAGCAGGCCAGGTTATTGTCTCTTTAAGTGATACTGTGTCCTTCTCCCCAGCATAGGCCCTTATGGAGATTCGTCAATGCCCGATTCAGTGGCTCGGCATCTCGGTAAGACAAGAGAAGGGCGGCTATGGCGGCTCAATTTGGCGCGTGTGTAAAGCGTCTATATATATATGTTAAGAAAATGTAGGTCGGTATCACGTTACTTTATTTTGCACGTCCCGAGTAACGTATTTTGTTAACTGTTCGGTAACGCTCACAGCACTGGTTCGGATACACAAGCCGGAACAGTGCGATCGCACCTTCCAATGAAGATCTGCCAAGAAAAAAAGCGCAGTTACCTTATGAGTGTGGAGTGTTCCTGGAACGCGTTCCTTTTAGGAGGAACGAAGTAACGTCGTCGTTCCATCTCGCATTGGTGGGACTGGAACGGGAAGTCGTTCCGATTTTACGGAAACAGAAAAAGGAACGGAGTTCCTTTTTGTTCTTCAGTGAGGTAATTTTTATTTTATATCAAAAGAAAAATTTTATGAAGTATAAAATAATATTTTTTTTTATGATGAGCAGGATTTCGGTAACTTGTGTGTTACTTATTTTAGGGTTTATTTTTTGGGGTCCTCGCTCGGTAACAGTCGGATGCAGGTGAGCTGGCAGACATTGATACTTTTTTCAGTGCACAAAACTGCGGCACAATAAAAAACAAACTTTTAGTCGAAGGAAAGGTACAAAACAAGGGACGTCTCAAGCTCAGCTACTTTTTTTCTTGCTTTCACGAATCCTCTTACGCCCTGAGATCTAAGGCCGACTAGAGCGATCACTGAACTTCCACAAAGAGAACTTTAGTGGCAACAAAAGCAGGTTACCAGGCACTGAACGCACTGTTGCATCTCGAAGATTTGTCGCCTAAATGACAGACAAAAATTAACCTTCATTCACTCTCCTCTTCGCGCCCGCCTTCCAACTGAAGAACCAATCCGACCTCAAAGATGTACTAGTAGTTTTCAAGACCGATCTTCCAAAAGCCATACCCTCTTCTACGGTTGCTCGTCTTGCTGACAGCAACATCAAGAAGCAACTGCTGTTACGCTCAAACAAGGGACTTTGCTTGATTGAAACGTGTGAGGTGTTGTAAAACGCTCGTGCAATGTGGGATAACCCTTTAATCAAAAAAATATAATTAACCCCGCTCCTTCTTGTCGGGTAACATTAAGACTTCTGGAGTAAATTTTGGAACACACCCAAGGTAAGCATAAAAGAACCGGAAGTATTTCTCTACA